AGGACAGAGCCAGGCAGAGGGTCAACCGTGACCTGACAATCTGCTTGTACATCATGAGGGAGAAAGCCACCAGAATTGCTTTGGCAACCTGCCTTTGGGGTGGGAAGTACGATTTACACAACTTTCCCTTCCTTCATGGTTGTTTCTCACCGTAATCATAAAAAAAGTCTTATGAAAACATTTGTCCTAGGGAATGTTTGGCGATGCAGCATGTTTGCAAATTGTTCAGTGTCTAAATACATCAGCAACCCATCTCTGCAAGTCATCACCGCAATCAAACAGCTCCTCTTTCTCTTGACTATAAATGGTCTCTGCTGAGGACAGGTTTGAAGAGTGAGGAAGCACTCCCTCGAGCTGATGCACTGGGAAGAGGAGAGTCCATATGAACAGGACCATTTCTAGAGCACAGATCTCCAAGGAGGGGAGAGGTCTGGGTTTGATCCTTACCTCTTTCCATGGTTTTGCTCCAGCTGTTGGATCCTGATGCAATAAACTGCTTTAGTCCTTGAACTCTGGCACATGCACAGTCCCACTGACCTCAGAGACTTTAGCTTGCTGCTGATTTTAAACTCAAGGCCAGAACCGGGGCAGGTCCCCCGCCCCTCACCACACAGGAACACACAGCCCCTTTCCTCCATGGATCCTGTCCTTTTTCCACCGTGGCTGCTCTTTCTAAGGGACACACAACCTGCCTGAAGTGTTAGGAAAACCCCATCCTTCTAGTAACCCTCTAAAACACAATTACCGAGTCAGTTGAGAGCTGGAGCGTTATGACCTTCTCCCCAGCAGAGCAGAGAGGTTAAACTTATGAGCAAGCCTTTGATGTCTGCAAGCTTCACGTGGTACAAAACCTTCTGCTTTGATGTTCCTTTTAAAAGAGAGGAAACTCAAGGTGTGCAGTGCACAAGTCCCAAGGAGCACTCGGATCTGGCCACCCACAACTGCAGGCACAGGAACCGAGCTCTAACGCTGCTACTTTTGCTCAGGGCTTGGCTGCAACAGAGAGAAAATGTGACCAAACACTTCACACCCTCACCTGCTTCTCCCAGACCAAACCCACCTTTGCTCTGTTTCACAGCTCTAAGTATTCCCATGGGAGCTCCAGACCTGACCTCAAAGGTGAGGGGACGCTGCCTTTTCCCATGCCCCAGGCCAGGCAGCGCTGGTCCCTCACCTCACGTGGCCAGGGGAGGGGTAAGGAAGCCCATCTCTTTGCCCCTCCTGCACGAGCTCTCCATTGTGTGCAACACCAGCGTCCTGCACAGCAGCAGCAGGAAGGTCCAGACCGCACGGAGGGACCTGCCACGGGCCCTGGCACGCGTCCTACCTTACGCAGCAGCTGGGCCATGGCTTCTCCCATCCATCCCAGCATCCCCACGGCTCTGCCAACAGGTTGAGCCCTTCTCCCAGGGCCTGACAGAGCTGCCAGCAGGGCCAGGCTCCTCTCCATCCCGAGCTCACTTCGCCTCCTTTTCCCTCTCCCGCCTCCTCCCATGGGGAGTTTCCCAGCAGCTCAGTAATTAGCATCATCCCCACCAATGCTAATAACACCACCACAGATCCTGCTATCCAAAGCTCAAACAGCTTTACAGCCATCATCACGCCTCTGTAACCTCCCCAGGGTAGGCAGGGAAGCAGCATCACCCCACCGCACAGATGGGGAAGAGGGAGGTAAACAAGAGGCAGAGATGGGCAGTGAACCCGGGAGCTCTGACTCAGGCACCGCACCCACGGGACCTCCCTGTGCCAGGGACCTGCTGCTGCACAAGGCCCCTCCGGAAGGAGGCTGGTGGCTGTGTCGGCAGCAGGACTCATCCAGGGATTACAACACTCGGCTTGGGGCCTGGGAGTCCTGGGATGAGGTTCTTTCCCGAGCATCCCTGCACACAGGCTCAGTTTCCCCCTGCAAAATGACTGTGGGAGAGCAGCACATGGCACCATGTGAACAGTCTGAGGTCACACCTTCTGGTGGGACAGCAGCTATTGTGGCATCCCATAAAAGCATCTTAGATCAATCATTAGACCTCACCTCTAATTAAGGACTCGCTGTTTACTGATGGATTAAAGAGGATTTTTGCTTTGAGCATTCGCAAAATGAGGGATCTGGGGGGATTCTGGTCTCAACAGCCTGACCAGGGAAAGCTTCTCTCCCATCCTGTGTGGGGTTTGTTACGTTTGACTAAAAAGGTTCCCATGGATGGGAATTACAGTGTTTAAAAAAGCCCACCCACAGTCCCCTACAACAGCCTGACACAGCCCAGGTAGCCCCAACAGACAGGGACAAAAGCAGAACTCAAGGCAATGGGTTGCTTTGCTTTTGGCAAGATGACATTGGCTTTAAATGTTCTGGTCTATGCTACAAGCTCAGGCTGGTACATCTGCCAGCTGAGCACCAACACAACCAAAATACACCTGAACTCCCCTCTGCCACTCTGAGCGTTCACCTACGAAGAACACAAGCCCTATACACAAGCTGTGTAACTCTGTGGAGCTACTGGCCTGAAGAAAACCCAATAAACCACTTGTCACTGTCACTTTTATGGGATATGGACAATGGACCATCAGGTATCAAATAAGGGGCATTCTGTAAAACACAAGACAGGCAAGTGCCCTTCTCTTCCAGCCAGAAGCACTGCAGCGTGCCCTGATCTATTCTTTTTGGGCATAAACTGAGACGTTCAGTGCCTGCAAGGAGGAAGATGTCATTTTTTTTCCACACGCTGCTGCCCCGTGTATCCTGTTGAATTCACTCCACTCTGTTCCAATGCTGTGTGCACCAGGCGTGCCTGGGAACTGAGCTGAGAACGGACTCTCAGGGCTCAGCTCACAAATCCAGGGCAAGTGGGGAGCTAACACACAGACAGACAGAGTGCAAAGTCAGGGCACACAGGGAAGAGGCCCCAGGAGAACAACCAGGCAAAGCAGATGACTGCAGCAGCTGGGTAGAGCCTGAGCCACCCCTTTGCACCCCTATGAGCCCCTGCTGGGTGATCACCCACCCCTGAAGGATGGGAGGAGCAGCACATCCCTCGCCTGCTCACACACAATTCCACCAGTCAAGACAGCACAAACCCCGGTGTCTGAGAGGCACCTCCTGCCTCTGGGTTTGTGTCCCCGTGTCTTCACTTCTCTTTCACGGACATTCACCAAAACCCCATGTGTACTCACTCTCGAGAGGTCATAGTGGTTGGCAATGTCCCACGGGGCCTTTTCTTAGACACAGCCTATGTGCTCACAGCTACACCCTGAGGAATGCTTTTTGCCTTGCTCTTGACAGAGTGTGGCTTTTGTTTGGCTCCTGGCTGAATGTCTGAGTTAAAAATACAAGGCTATTTTTGGCACAAGTGGGGTTTTTTTTCCGCCTTTCTATTGCCTTGGATGCCCCCATGCTGCTGTCTCCTTTCTGGCTCAGATGAGCTTTGTTTTCCTTCTCAGTGATCATGTTTGCACCGGTGAGCAGTAGGAAATGCTTTTCCTATTAGACCATTTCCATAAGCACTGTTGGGAATGAAGAATGAACTCAGAGAAGTCTAAAAAAAAAACCCAGCTGGTGTAAAGATCCTGTCTCCAGTGGCCAGAGAACTGAAAATCAGGAATGTCTGTGGTCAGAAGAGGATACGTACATACGCACACGCACACAGGTACAGCAGGATGTGTTCTCCCCATGACCCACAGGCCAGGAACAAAGGACTGAGTGCTTGAAGCATCCCCTTTCTACAGACACGCTTCATCCCAAGCTCTGCAGCTCAGACCCTTTCTTACCCAGCATGAAAATAGTTTATTTTGCTTTTCTTAAATGCCAGGAAAAAATAGGTCTCTCTTTCCTGGCTTGGATTTATTCCATCTGGAATCACTGCATGATCACAGGACTGTGATACTGTTACAGTCTCAGGATAAAGCAAGAGCCCAAGTACTCTCAAGCACTCATGCAATCATTAAATCTCTGTTGTTATGCTCCATATCTCCTGGCAAGACCAAGCTCAGGACTTGGGTCTTCTCGCTTGAGATCACCACGTTCTGATGTCTCAAAATCCCCTCCCATGATCCAGACAGATGCCATCCTTTGTGGGTGTGATCCCTGTCTCGAGGACTGAGAACAAAACCAACACAGCTGTGGGAAACCTCCCCAGCACATTGTATTTGCCATGTATCACAACATAAACATCAACACAACCAGAAGATAACAGCCTAACAAAGAGCTAAAGACATCAAAAAGGCCCATGGAGAGCTTTCCAGGACACGAATCCCCACCACCTTCTGGGGAGCCAAGCACAGACTGAGTCAGAGCTCTTCAACACCAACACAGGACTTGCTGCATGCCACTAACCCACAAAACACTAACACCAGAGCCAGCTCCTCTTGCCAGCTTCTTCTCTTCAGGAAGCCTGCTCCACCTAACTTGCTTCCAAAGAGAAGCTCCTAGACAATGATTTTGCATCATCTCTCATTCAAAGAGCCCACTCTGCACATTGCCACTCTGGAGACCATCAATGTGATCAGGACATGAGAGGGAACAGTAGCTAAGCTCCCAGATTTGGCAATGGAATCGGCATTTTTCATTGCTCGTCAAAAAAACTGAAAAGGGTTCTGTTTCTTGAAGGCAACAAGCCTGCTCCACATGGACCCCAGGGTGCTGGTCAAGTCAGGCTACACAAAGCAAGGGGTCCCAATTACTGTGTTCTTCTGGAATTGAAGATCACATCCTGACAGTCCCAACTCTAGGCTCCTGTCCCTCAAGAGAAGGTTACAAATAGCACCACTAAATATCAAGCTCTCATAAACTAGTTCATGATGGAGGTTCAAAAAAGCAGAATGATTTGCCTGTAGTTGCCCAAACAGTCAGCAGCAGAGCTAGATGCAGGCTCTGTGTTCCAGCCAACAGGCCACGCCACTGCCCCCATAGCAGGTTAGAAATGAGGTAAGAACAAACACGGTATAAGAACTAACACGCTGTAAGAAACCCCCAGCTCAGTACTGGAGGAAAAACATCATCTTCCTACCGACTGTGAGACCTGGACTCGGACCTCGCTGGCATCCAGTGGTGAGGTACTTGACCCGCGGGGCTTCCTCTCGGAACTGGAGTGGTGCTCCCGGTATTTCTTTGACCTCGCAGGCAATGACAAGAACTCTTTTCCCGAGATCTTCAGGTCTCCCACATGATGGCTGTCCCCATTCTGGTCCTTGGGAAAGCAAGAAACAGTCATTGCTCAAATCGCCTGCCTCTGGTTTACGTGGAGATCTGTTGGCAAGTATCCACAGAACGGGGGACACAGAAGCAAGAAGCTCATGTGCAGTTCAGGTGGTGTGAGCTGACACTCCTCACGTGCAGGGCTGAGTGAGGACATTCTGTCTGTCTTTACACCACATGGTTTTAATGAGTGGAGAGGAAGCACCACCCAAGCAATGCACAGTAGTCAACTTCTCCACAAGAAGCCAGGGAGAAGTAGCATCCTCTTATAAGCCCAGGTATGCAGGTAGAAGCATGGCTGGTTTATTTATGGGGATGGGGATGATGGATGAAAGGTCCAGAAGCAGTCACTGCCACTAGTGATTTCTGGCAACCACACTCAAAAACCTCTTCTAAGCAGTGGCCAGCTCATCTTGCCCAGGATACCAAACCGTTGGCACAAGTCCCTCCACTTGCTGTATCTTCACTTCTACCCAGTGCCCAGCCAGGCAGCAACCTACACCAAACCATGGATAACCCGACCATGCCCCAGGGAACACAGCTATTCTGGATGCTCCACAACATTTCCCACCTCTAGGATTTGGCTCCCAGCACAGACAGAGCATTGTCTGCCTCAGTGTCTCCCACTGTCTTCAGCAAGTAGGGCCCTTACCCAACAGCTTCCTAAAAGGCTGATTAACATGGATGGTTGGAACCCCATTCTGCTCTTTTCTCATGCACCAGAAGCACGTGGGGGCTGCAGGCTAACATGACTAACTGCAGCACACAATTACAAGCCATCCCCTGTTCTCTCCCTGCTGTCCTCCTTTGCTCTCTTAAATGCTCAGTGCTCCCACAGACATAAAACACAGGATGATCGCCCCTCTATAATGCACGAGGAAACTGAGGTGACAGAGGCTGCATGTCTCTTCCCACTGCAGCCCCTCACTTCGCTTTTCCAGGCCCTGCCCCATGCCTGACTCCCCCTTTCTCACCCGTTTCCCATAAGACACACACAACTCTATCCCTTCTCTGTCAAAAGACTCAAGTTTAATGGCCCTGCCTGTATTATCATAACAGCCTCATTACTGCTGTCACGCAGATGAGGCCCTGCTACAGAAGCACCAGGAGTATTCAGCATTTAGCTCCAAAGTCACTTACTAAAGGCACAAGGCACTTTACATCTAACTGCTGGGAACTGAGTGCCCAAACCTGCTTGATGCCTTGGGCTTCAGCCCTTCCAGGCTGCAAACCACCCGTTATCACACACACATGGCACTGAGGGGATGCCCCAGGGTGTCCTCACTGCAGCAACCACAGACAGGAGAAAGAAGCCCAGGAGATGGCCCAAGATGTTGGGACTTAAAGGCACATAGACCAAAGAACCAACAATACTGAACAGGATCTGCAGTCACAGCACACCAGCAGCACAATGAAATGCTGTAGCCAAAATGGCTTTTCCATTCCTTGCAATACAAACAGGAATATCAAGAAGGAGTAAGGAGAGATTCATTCCCCTAAATGCTATTGATGGCATCAACTGCAGCCAGACTGGCCTCAGCATTTTGGAAAGCAACTACAGAAGTGTATTTCAGAACTGGAAAGAAGCTACCTTACAACGACCTTACTGCCTTAGTTAGAGCCTCAAACCACTTAGTTCATGACAAAAAGAATAGATGACTCAATTACAGCAAGTAAGAACCTTCAGGGTAAAAACCAGCATGTGATGAAGAGATTTTTAGTCTCACAGAGAGAGGAATAAACAGGAATCAATGGCTGGGAGCTAAAATCAGAGAAACTCAAAACAAAGAATAAAGCACAGGCTGCAGAGAGCAGGATGATAAGGGAAGAACCATTTTCACTATCTGCTGAGGCACTCAGAGCAGACATGGGTGCTTCTGGAGATACACTGCCCAGACACGTGGCTCTGTGCAGAGGCATTAGGCAAGAATTCCTGGCCTGAGTGGCTGTGGGATTCCTGAGGACTTTGAAGGCTGTGTCTGGCACAGATGATGGGCAGAGAGTGAGACAATAATTGAGAGGGTGCTGGAGAGATCACAGTTCACTCCACTGACTGATTCCTCACCTTAGCAAGCTTGAAGCCAACAACCCTCTCCCATGACTGTAATCACCTCTTCCTGGGAGCCACAGTAGGAGAGAGGAAGTGGAATTGCATCCAAAGCACTTTTAGAAGGAGAGGTGAACCTGCATGCACCCCACAGTATCACTGCAGGAGGAAGAGGACTACTCATGTCTGACTCCACAGAGTACCCACAGCCCCATTTACTCCATCCTCCCTGTGAAATCCCTGAAATCCCATAACCCTGCCTGAATTACTGCACGAGGTTCAGCTTTTACAGGAAAGAGTAGGAAACCAGCAGCATTAACAGCAGATCACACATCAGCAAAACTCTCCCTGCCTGTCCTCTGGGCTGTGCTGCTGTGATGAGGGTACACAATCGAACGTCCCTGGCACTGGGCATCACTGTCCCTGCCACTATCAGAACCCTGGAGCTGGAGTCAGTGGGTTAAAGCAGATCAGAGCCAAAATGGCCAGCGGGCAGTTGCAATAATTAACAAAACCACATAAATATGTTTGGCATCTAGCTCCCAGGAAGAGTTAATTCAGGAAGAAGCTTTTGTCTGGGCCTCCCAGTGCTTACTGGGAGGTTTAGGCACTCAAATGGGTGCAAGCTTGAGGTTTTTTCCCACTGACTGCACCTACCTGCAACCTGGGCAAGTTTTTTCTCTCTGTGACACTCCTGTAAGAGAGGAAACACTCCCTGGGACACTCTGGAGAGCTCTGCCTGGAAAGCACTGGATGAAGGAACATTATTTGTGCCAAAGATGTTCCCAAAAGCGGAGCACAGCTGCCCGCATGGCCACCTCCTCTGGGAAAGGGCATACGCAAGCCCCATGGCAATGGGCAGACCCAGCGATCCTGTGCAGGATTCCTGAGAAGTTCAATCAATCCCTGTGTGTGGAAAGGCTCAGAGCCTCCAATGTAGAAACAGCCTTTGCCATGGGGACACAGAAAATGCTGAGCTGCCTGGGTCTGTCATTGCCAGCAGTGAACCGGAGCAGAAGGAATCCTTAAGAGCTCCTTGGAGCAAACCCCTCTGCCTCCTCCAACACACCAGCTCCTGCTTCTACCCTCTCTTTTTTTTGAGCAGCACTCTGCACCAAGATTTGCCACCAGCCACTAAAGGGGCTAAAATGCTAACAATTATCCTCTCAACGAAGGCCTGGTTTTGCAAAAAAGCACAGAAGTGGCTTTTTCAGCTTTCAGTTAAGTGCCTTTTCAGTCAGACCAGCTGTTCCTCTCCTCCAAGCTCTCTAGAAACCCTCTTTGGTTAATCCCATTGACTCCAATGATATCTGCTAATTGCATACTTCCCTGCAAATGAAGCCAGTCAAGAAGCCATTACAGATTCCTACTGATACCTCATCTTCGAGGCCAGACATCTTTGCTTACCTTTTCAGAAGGGAACTTCAGGAGGTCTAAGCTGTCCATGCTGTTCCTTTGGAGTCTCTTTGGCCTGGCTCCTGCAAAACAACGCACTCTCACATCAGGAGGGTGTCACTCACTGACAGCACTAATGTCACACAGATAAAATTCAAAGCGTGGCAGATCCTCCACTCCCGTTAACTACAAAGTCAAAGGGACGGGATGTTGCAGCTGTGCTGTCCTTGAGATTCACATGGAGGGGGGGGGGCTCTATTGTTTTGGGTCTTTTCAAGATGCTATCACAGCACAGTCAGCAGCAGCAAGGGCGGTGGGAAGCTTTTGCTATCAGGCCAGTAGCGGTGTCATACTACAACCCTGACCTCAAACGAGGTCTCTGGAATTCAGGAGTTACAGACCCCCCTCTAAACCATAAAAGTCATGGGACTGGCATGGAGCAAAGTGAGAACAAAGCCACAGTTTCATACATCTGTGGATTTGTTGCTTCATATTTCTAACTTAAAGAATGTATCTGGGATGCAGCTTTGAGCTTTTCTCTACAGTCACAAGGGCTAGAAAACTAAGTGAAGGGGCAAATATTTTCTGTCATAGGCTCACCCTTAAGGGGAGCAAAACCTTGCCCTGAACCTGACAGAGGAATCAAAATTTGGCAGGATTCATGCTAGTTATCTGAGATTTCATTCCAGCAATAACAGAGTGGGTGAAACACAGTTCAGCTCTGATCCCTGCTTCCTAAACTCTCTTTTACCTCCCTTCCTCCCTCCAACCTGCTTTCAGCTGCTGTTGCCTTGCTCACTAACAGCCAGGGTTTACAAAATGGGATGTCTTTACCATGCCTGGGTGGGAAAGGGAGAACTTCTGTCCCTCCACTCTCCTTCCCTGATCTTTCTGGAAGGTTCCGTTTAGCTGAGCACCACATGATGCCCAACAGCAGCAGCCAAAGCTGTCACCTCAAGGTCCCATGACAACTTCCAAGCTTCAGGGGAAACCCTGGGGGAGGGTGAATGAATGCATGTGAATTGAAACCCATCGCCCTGAGAACAGAAACCACAGAGCTTTGTGTGGTTCCTGCAACAGCAAACTCACCAAACCTAGAGATTCCCCTGTTCCCAGCACCACTGCTTATGCTACAGCATCTCCCACAGACCCTGTTCTAACCAGGCTGCCACCAAGCTGCTCACTGGACAAACTTGATGAGAGAGAAAGCACAACATTCAGAAACCAAGTCAATACTTTAAGCAGAACATTGGGATTAAATGGAAAAGCCACCAGGTATAGCAGAGATTCCTGCATTGACACACATCCAGCTCAGCCAGGGCTCCAAATGTGACCAGAGCTGTATCTAAACTGTACCAGCTCCAAAGACACTGCTGCTTTGGAAAGTTCAGCCTCGCTCAGCTTCATGAGACATGAGACAAGCTCAGATCAGCTGGGACTATCACTAAAGGTCATGCACATATATCACATCTCAGTTATAAATGACCTAAAGTTCGTTTCACTGCCCCTCGCTCCCCTAAAGTGATTTATTCTTACAGCCATAAAGACTCAAACCAGCAAAACGATTACCAGGCTTTGGGTCCAGAAGGGACTGACATCAGGCCCAGAACACTGATGTGGATACACAGAGAGCAAGGAAAACACAACAAGCAGCCGTCGTTTCTTCCAAACTCTCCCCTTTCTGCAGGGCAAATCCAGTTGCTCACTTGGCAGCAGCTCAGTAACAACAGGATTTGATCCCGGAAGGTCAGCGAATGCTGCTGACATTGGCGGGGGTTCAGACAAGGGGCTGCATCCCTTTGGAGCAGGCAGGAAGAAAGGACTTTGCTGCCCTCCACAAAGCAGGCAGAAGTCTTGATCTTACCATTCTTGTTTCAGCCTTCACTTATCTTCACTAAGATCTTATCTAAGGTAGCTCATGTTTACAAACCTGTGTTAAGTGAGCAGGTTGGGAAAGGCTCATGCTGTTGGATACCACTGAAAGGTTTGGGTTATTTGGTAGCTGAACACATCCATCACCACAGGCCGGATGTGCACTCAGCCATGAAGACAGCTGAAAAGATCAAGCCCCATAAGATGGGAGAGCTGCATCCTTCTCAGTGGGCAGACACAACCCACTGCCCTGCCAGAGACACAGCTTCACTCCATACAGGACTCCCCTTCCATGCCCTAGATGCCACCCAAGATTACGCTCCCACAGGGCACCAGTGATATGAGTTTTCAGCTGAGAGGACCAAGAGCTCATAACCAGAGGCCCTGCACCAGCTTAGTGGGACACACAAGCCCTACACCCAGCTCCCATCGCTCCCCTGCGCTCCCTGTGGGCATCAGCACGTTCAGGACATGGCTACGGCTGCTCTTGGCTTCCCTCTGAATAACCTAGAGTCTTCTGCATGGAGCAGTGAGGCAGGTCGGGAATAAAAGCCACCTACAACCACTCCATCAGCTGGTACATTTGGGTTTCAAAGCAATGCCCAAGAGGTGAAGCCAGCACCTGGAAGTGAGTGTGCGTCACAGCGGCTTTTAACAGCCACTTCCAGGAAATCAAGAAAGGAGCCAAATGTGCCTGATTAGATAAACACCCATCATTGCCAACAGGCTCAAGAGTCGTTAATTATACACCTCCGTCCTCAGGTGCTTTTGTACGTTTGCAATAGCATTAAACTGCTGGCCAGAAAGCATTAATCTCTGCTCTGAGAAAACCTGCCTTCCCTTTGTTAATTTAATAACGCAGTCAGCTGAGACTGCCCCGGCAATTAGGGCACGCAGCACAATTTGTCTTCCTCAGTTGTTTTGATGCTGGTGCTCCTCTGTTACCCTGTGGATTCCACATTCAATTGAGTTGAGAGGGGAAGAAGCTGGGAGTTACAAACCCAACTTCTGAGCCACCCAACTCATAGAATCATCAACTCAGCTATTTTCTTCCCAAAGACGACACAAGTGGCACCGGGACTGAGCACTGGCCCTGCCATCCTGCTCACCGCGAGCTGTCCCGCTGGTGGAGCAAGCAGCACCATTAAAACAAGCAGCTAAAAGGATTAAGAGGCTACTATCAGTCAGGGCTATGGTAAACCAGATCCACCCAGGCAGCAAGTCCCACCACACGCCTGGAGCTTGCCCTCTTTACTCCACACAGACAGGCTCAGGAGCCTCCACACATTCATCTTCTAAGAGCAGAGAGATTTCCATACTCACAAGCACTCCACGACAGGAGTCCCCTTAACTTTCTGTCTCCGACCAGGACATTCCCTCAGATAGCTCCAGACGTAACTTCCAGGCTCCTCCGAGTTATTTTTCCCAGAAATACCTGCAGCACTGCCTAATCCTCTGCAAAAGTTCAACTGCCTCTTTTGCCCCAGCGCAGATCAACAGCAGCAGCTGTAGATGCAACGGACTGAGCAGCTGAAAACCCGGGTCTGTTCCTCTGGAAGGTTTTTTCCTCCCTTTCCAGTATTTATTGGCATGTTTACCAAGCTCATTGCAGAGCAACGGAAAACCTCAGGGGCATTTCTAAATGCTCTCTCTGTCTTTAAGGTTTACTGAGGTCTCTAATAGAGCAAGTTGAAACCTTCTTGTGAACATCAGCTGAGCAGCACTCCTGACTGGCTGTATTCATGCCCTGTTTTCCTGCAGCTCCTCGGATGTTGTTCTTTTCACTGCTCAGGTTTGCTGGCTCTTTTTTAAATAGTTTTTTTCAACAATCTCCCCCCCCATGAACCAAGGGGGGTTTATTTTACTGCTGGTGCTGGGGTGTGTTTAACGGTTTTCACATTCTTGTGATTTTAAACTGGATGAAGCAGTCACCCCCCTCCCTGGAACGGAGCAATGGACTCCAGGGAGGGGGAAGTGCACTGCAATAGAGCTGAGGGCGATGCATGCGCTGGTCTGCCTGCAGATAAGACATTCTTGCTTCCCCCAACTCACTCACATCCCCCACCTCATAAACACTCCCTAATCTTCTGCCTTTGGGACACTAACCCAACATATCCATGTTAGACATGCACCTAGACCCATCCGCTTTCTCTGTGTCAGAGATGGGGATGGCCCCTCTGCACATCCTTGCACTATGTGTGACAACATGGATACAGGAACCTTCATTTAAAGTCTCTTTTCAGGGCCAGGTGTTTGGCAGTGCACGCTCCATACCTTCCTTGGGCTTTTTAAGCTCATTTTGAGCAGAATTATACCAGGCCCTGCACGTCTGAGAGAGAAGCTAAACCAGAGAGTTGACATGGCACATGCAGCAAGCACAGCATCTTCCACCCATTCTTCTCCTGTTCCCTTGGGATCTGGCCCCAGCTCCACACTGCCTGCAAGGGCAGGATCAGTGTGCCTCCGGAGGGAAGAGAAAACCTTAAAAACCAAGGGAAGTCTTTAGTTTTCAAGGCGCAATTAGAGGAGAAATGCTCATGTAGCAAAAGTTCTTTAGCAGTGCCTTGCTACAAAGCGAGATGTAGCCACAGAACACACCAGGAAGTGTTTTATCACGGGATAATGATGGGATCATGCCCTGTACATTTGCAGCATAGCAAAGCTGGGTAGACAGTGTGAGCAGCTTTGTTCTCTATGGACAGTCTCCCTCTACTCTGCTCTTGTGAGACCTCACTTGGAGTATTGTGCACAGTTCTGGTGTCCTCAACATAAAAAGGACATGGAGCTGCTGGAGCAAGTCCAGAGGAGGCCACGAGGATGATAAGAGGACTGGAGCACCTCCCGTATGAAGACAGGCTGAGTAAGTTGGGGCTGTTCAGCCTGGAGAAGAGAAGGCTGCGTGGAGACCTTATAGCAGCCTTCCAGTATCTGAAGAGGGCCCACAAGGATGCTGGGGAGGGACTCTTCATTAGGGACTCTAGTGGTAGGACAAGGGGTAATGGCTTTAAACTTAAACAGGGGAACTGTAGGTTAGATCTAAGGAAGAAGTTAATCACAGTGAGGGTTGTGAGATGCTGGAATGGGTTGCCCAAGTAAGTTGTGAATGCTCCAACCCTGGAGGTGTTCAAGGCCAGGCTAGACAGAGCCTTGGGCGACATAGTTTAGTGTGTGATGTCCTTGGTCATGGCAGGGGGGTTGGAACTAGATGATC